GTTCAACAAAAACCATCATTAAAGAAGCAGTACCAGTTCATAAGAAGAGTAAAACCAATGAGACAGCTGGTCAAAGAAAGATGTGAATGTTCAATGTTAATACAAATGGCGCAAGCGGTCAGAAAAACTGCAAATCAAGGGACCGAGGACTTAAAGTATGAAATTTTTTGGAAACTCTGGAGGATTTGTTACAAGGATGGAGATTCTTCCTCCACATTTCTGTCAAGCATATATACTTCTGTGAAGAGAGTAATGTCTAGAGGAAGACATTAGATTTTTAATTTTTCTATATTTTGTATTATATATTAATTTCATATACTTATTAGCCATCTAGGAAATATCAGATAGGCTTCAACTGACATTAAACAAAGTAGGTGCACTGTTTTTGTCACAGAACCTTAACACTGTCCAACTCACAACATCCAAGAAGCAAACATCTCGAGTTCTGTGACAGCACTAAATGTGAACTCTGCTCCTAATACAAAATTTAAAATGAGCCAAGATGTCCACTCAACTTCTTTACAAATAAACTGGACACCCATAAAAAACAGCAGACTACAGATAGCAGTCAGTACTACAATAAAGTGAGAAAGGTTTCCCATAGCGTCCAGGTGTCTTCATGATTGGAATAAATGACTCCTTAAAAAATAATAGAAAATAAAACTAAATTATAAAGAGAAAATAATACCTGCCTTCACAGTTTAGAATATATGTAAATGCACATATATTTAAAAAATATGATACTCAGGATACCTAGCTAGAAAAAACAAAACACAAGATTAAACAGCTTTATAACTTAGGTACATGTCTGATAGAAAACACCATTTGGTGGAAAAGTCATTTAACAAAGATATTTCCTGTAAGTGACACCCTAGTGACTAGGAACTAAGTTCTAGAGATACAAAAACCACAAGGCAAAGGCCAACACCCTGTCACTGGTTGGGGGAGTGACGTTTGAGGCAGCTGTCCAGGTGCAGCAGGAGGGACCCATTTCTCCCCAGCAGCACCTGGATTTCTGAGGAGGAACACCAGTGACTGAGGGGTCGAAGAGGAAAGGGAAGGAGGCAGTCGAGAATACCAAAGTGCAGTGAAGAAATGGGCTTCCTGCTGCCGGCTTCAGGACTTTGGCAGGACCGCCCACAGACCTCTGGATATGCCCCACTTGATGCCACACCAGGCCCAGTGGCACCCCAAAGCTCCAGCTGCCAAGCCCACAACACCCCCACTCTGCCACCAGCCAAGTGCATCCACAAGAGCCAGCTGTTACAGGAGAAACCACAAACGAGCTACAGTGCCACCTTCCATAATAGAAAAGAAAGGTTTCTAATGGCCAGCCTGTTGAACTGTAAGATCCAAAGTAAACACAAAACCTTAATAAGGGAAAGTGACTGCTACTTCAAATGCTAAAGCAGAAGTGCATGTCTTCAAACACCATAAACAATCAAGGAAATATGGTATCACAAAAAGAAAATAATTCTCCGGGGCGCCTGAGTGGCTCAGTCGTTAAGCGTCTGCCTTCGGCTCAGGTCATGATCCCAGGGTCCTGGGATCGAGTCCCACATTGGGTTCCCTGCTCAATGGGAAGCCTGTTTCTCCCTCTTCCACTCCCCCTGCTTGTGTTCCCTCTCTCGCTGTCTCTCTCTCTGTCAAATAAATAAATAAAATCTTAAAAAAAAAAAAAAACTGCTTTAAAAAAAAAAAGGTGAAACACATAAGGATAAAGAAAGGTTGAAACTCAGAAGGTTGTGGGAGAGACGGAGCAGGCGAGGGATCGGTAAGGGAGCTGGCTGGGGTGTACTGGTATTCATCCCATCTCAAGCTAAGGAACACTCACCCAGAGATGAAGGAGGCCACCAGACGACTGTCAAGTTCCGTTTAGAAGAAAGACACGCGTGTCAACGTGCCATGCCTTCATCAAGCAGCCACAGAGCATGTAAAGCAAACTTTACCAGAACCAGAAAGAGAAATAAACAGATCCACTGTCACACTTGGAAACCTGAACACACCTCTCAGAAGGTGATAATCAGAAAACAATAATTAAGTATACAGAAGATTAACCGAACACATAACAAGCATAATCTAACAGACATATAGAAATCACCACACATGACAATTCCAAAAGAGACGTTCTTTTCAAATCCACGTGAAACATAAAAAAAGAGAGAGACCACATTCATGGCTCCAACTGCTCCCTTCACCAAACTTCAAAATGTTTATTAGATAGAGGACATTTTTTGACCAAATTAGAATAAACTTAGAAAAATTATCTTCTCATATAGAGTAGAAAATTTCAAAATTATTTTTCTAAGAAACTCATAAATCAAATAATTATAATGGGAAAGAAAAAATTCTATTAGTTGAATGAGCATGAAAATACTTAAGAGAAAACCAGAAAAAATGTATAGCCTTACATGTTTATTTGAGAAAACAAATCAAGAACCAAATACACAAGTTTATCAACCGATACAAATTAAAAGTTTACCAAAAAAGTTCTTCTCCACCAAAACACAGAAGGTCGGAGATGGAGACAGGACTACAAATTGATGAGTCAGAACTGACATACAACGCTGGATGACAAAAGCCAATCTCTGACTCTTTCAATATCTGAAACTGAATGAACATCTGAAGATAGATCAAAGGGAAATTCAGGTAAGACACAAAAACATCAGGAGTCTAACATCCTACAACAGGCTGTAAACATTAAAAGGATAAAAAAAAAATCATCACAACTTTATACCAATAAGCTTAAAAAATTAGAAATGAAAAATTCTTAGAAAAATGTGACAATAGCTAGAAAATATGAAAATAAAACTCAGGGAAAAAAAGCAAAATAATATTTCACCACAAAAGAAAATTTTGTTTAAAAGGAAAACATTATTCTTATGGAAATCAGAGTTTTTATGTAATCGGACTAAGCCTACCATCCCTTTTGTTTATCAAGGACACTTCCAGTCCTGACTAGTGTCCATCCCTCCCTGCACCTCACTGGTCTCCATGTCCCTCCGTCAGATGGAGAACAGGAAGAGGAGATGCTCAGCAGGCAGCAGAGACCACAATTTCTCAGGGGGAGGCTCCCATCTTGCACACGAATGCTTGATGCAAGAACAATAAACAAGGACAGTATTTAGGGGAACCTAAGGGATAACAGAGCAGCTAGAAGCTGAGATCCAGCTCCTATCTGAAAATAAACCCCAATTCCTGAGCTGTCAGTGCAGAACACCAACGCCACGGACCACACTGGCCAATAAAACACTCAAGCCTCCCCTCCCCTTTGGCCTCATGTATGCACTGACTCGTCCATACTCCTCGAGACAAAGCTGGTTCCCAGAAGTTCCTCAGAGGTCTAAGTCTGACTACTGTGCATCTGCCCAATCTCTTCCCCTGTCCGCTGACGCGGAGCATCTCAGGACATCATCCTTGACCTCCACCTGCAGGGGTCCAGGGAGTATCTTCCCGTCCCTGCTGACTCTCTGTCAGCCACCATGTGTGCAAGGACATGGTGAGTCCACACCATCCCAACACATACCCCAGCGCCCCCTAGTAGGCCCTCCTTCCTCAGCGTGGGTATTCCTGCTCTCCCCTGCATACCATAAAAATTTCAGGGTCTACAAGACTACAGAAATAAACCAGAATGCAGGGGAGGGAAGCCCACCCAGCGGGAAGCAGCGAAAGGATAGGACTGCTATGTGGGTTGCTAGAAGGCTACATTCAGAACCACCTGTGAGGAGGTGGATGGGCAGACAAAGGGAGCCTCTCCGGGTATCTGTGTGCTCCCTAGAGAAGTATCCTCAATCCTCACCGACCCCCTCACTCCGTCATGACTGAGTCTTCAAAGACCTCTGTTATCTGTCTCATTTCATACCTAAACAATGGGGCCAACACATTCAAAAGAATAATTAGAACACTCAGGACCTGAGAAAAGCAGAGCAAATGATCAGAGTGAGCAAGGATCTCAATCTCCACCTCCAAGAAGGCATCCTGGTCGGAGACACAGCAGAGCCCAGTGTCTCTTGAAACTCTCTTGCCAAAAGCAAAGCCCCAGTGTCTCTTTCTCAGAGATGCTTAGGTCTTGCTCACACGGGAGGGTCCTGTTCTAAGCTGAAGAATGGGTTTCCCACTGCAGCTGTCACTGGTATCCCTCTCTCTTCGCCAGCAGCCCCACGCTCCCAATCAGGGAGGTAATCTCTCCCACACGCCTATGCCCCCGCTGTCCCTGCACCCAGCAAGAGACACATGGAGGAGCGGAGGCGAAAAGACAGAACAAAGAACACACACACACACCCCCGCAGATGAGGGTCTCTCGTTACTACCGCTCTAAATTTACCATACTGTTTTAGTTTGTTTTCCCATACTCTGCAATCAGGTATTGACCTGTTTATTGTTCACGCTCATTATGTTCCCCACAGCCAAGGACTATCAGACAAGCCCGCTACTGTAGCTTCAGTTCATAGCAAGGCGCCTGGCACAAAGCACGGATTCAATCAATGTTTGGGTCAGCAATTAAAATTATCTTCCCGTATCTAACCACCTGCACAAAGCACTCTCCTCCTCCCCTAATTAATCAGCTCAGCATGTTTGATTCATATGGATTTGGACAAGCAGCCCCGGAGGCTCCAGGCCAGGGCCCCCTTCCCATCTGCACCCTCTCTATTCACACCAGTCCCAGCACCTGTCATACTGTTGGCTTCAAGTGTGGCTCTTCCCACCAACATAGGAAAAGAGATAACTGAGAGCTCTAGGGCTTTTAACTAACAGAAACCAGAACCCACCCCCATCATGGTCAGAAACCAGGCTGCACTCAGGAGTTCCTAGTCTATCCTGCAATAAGTGTGGGACTAGGGGATTCAGGAAGACAGAGAGGGGTTAGCCCAGGGCAGGCCGGGCACAGGATGTGGCGATAAGCTTCAGCCATAGATAAATCCTTGCTCCTTCCCACCTCCTGTCCCCTCTGTGAAAACAGAGCCCAGAGACAGAGACCAGAGGTCTCCCTCCTTCCGTACCTGCAGTCCAGGGACACCAAGGCCTGAGCTGGAGTCTGACCTGCTCTAGGTTCCTTTCCCATGTTGCTGTCCCTCAGGAAGCTCAGGCGAGCTCGCATCTCCAGCAGGCTGTGGGCCATCAGCCTTAGGGACGGAGACAGGGTATGGGTGCTGGGTGAGGCCTACCTCCCAGCTTCTTTCTGCACCTCCCCAGCCCCCGGCCCACCTCTCAGTTCACCTTGGATGGCACACTCCTGTCCTTCCCTATGATAGCCCCAGGCTTCTGCTCCTGGGGCTCACCCTCAGGAAGGTCCAGCTTCCGTGGCAGCTCTGCCTCTGCCTCAGGGAATGGCAGCTGACCCTGCAGAGTACGTAGCAGCTGGAGGAAGGTCTGGTGCCTGGAAGGAGAGGCGGGCTGTAAGGAAGGGAAACTGGACCACGCTGGGTTTGCAGCCCACACTCCCAGCCTCACCTGTGAAGCGTGTCCTGCTTCTGCCCCGCCTGCTCCTGCAGTCTTCCAAGTTCCTGAGACAGCCGTTCAAGCTCCTGCTGCGTCCCTCTCTGCCGCTGCCTCACCTCCGCAGAGGCTTCTGCCAGATGCTGCAGGTGCTTCTCCTACCAGGAATGAGAAGGCAAACACGGCTCCTCAGATGCGCAGGACTTACAGCCACTCTCTTAACCCCTCCAGGCTAGACCCAACTTGGGGCTCAGACCCACAGATGGAAAGAGGGACCCTACCCACTTTAGGCAAAACAAGGGCCCTAGAGAAAAAGGGTGAGAATGAGCTATTCCAATGTGAAGCATTCAGGAGAAAAGGGGCACAAACATGATAACTCAATTAGTCTGCTATGTGCTGCCATGTGTCCACATAAGCACTTGCTCTGCTAGCGATTTCATCAACTGAGCTCTGTACCGTAGGTGCTAATGTCGCCTCCACGTCACAAGCAAGACGCGGAAGCACAGGAAGTGAGGGGACGACCCAAAGTCGTAACACAGGAAGTGAGGATGCTGGTACCTGTGCTATAACACCGCACAAGAGAAGAGGCAGAGGGACTCCAGGCAGAGGACTGAGCCCATGCAACGGCACGGTGGCGGGGAAGGGAGATTTTCCTAGGGGTGTGGACCCACCTGTTGCAGCTGCCACTGCTTCTGGGCTGTCCTCAGTCTCTCCGTGGCCACCTGCTTCTGTAGGGAAGCAGAGGAGGGGAACAAGGAGGAGAGGAGTGTTTTTCTGGTTGGATTCTGGGAGGTGGCCAGTAGGCACAGCCCAGTATGCATGCCCTTTCCCTCCTCTCTGCCTGCCCTCCTCTCCCCTCAGCCTGGCTCACCTTGGCGTGGAGCTCTTCCAGGGCTCCCAGAAGCTGCGCCCGCTTCCTCTGAGCCTCCTCCATTGTGGGCAAGGCCTGGGTCAGGGCACCTGTGATGGCTTCCACATGCTCTTGGTAGGTGGCCTTCAGCTCCTTCCATTGCTCCTTGGCCGCAAGTGCCTTCTGCCCTGAAAGGAGCCACCGAGGATGAGAACATAAGGGAGAATGGTCTGCCTGCCTGCAACACTGGGGCCTCTGTCTTCCCATCAGCCAAAGAGCTGACCCGACTGACATCCCCTTACTTCCCCATCCCACCCCAGTGCCCACTCACGGCTGGTGTCTTCAGAAGCCAAGGGGTCTAGTTCTTGGACAACGTCCTCCTGAGCCAAGAAATTCTGCAAGAAGTCTACTACCTGAAGCTGGCTGCAGAGCAGCTTGTCCTTCTTGCGGGAGTCCTGTTTGGAGAGTGGGCAGAGGCAGAGAACATCATTACCTGTGTGTGCCGCAGGCTGAGACTGCCTTCCAGGGCGCCCGCCATCGGTGCTGCCCAGTAGCTCCCGGAGAAGACCCAGGAGAGGCACATACCATCACAAACTCCGTCAGGATCTGGGCCGGCAGTTCTGCCTCTTCTTGCCGGCCGATGGGCTCCAGGATGTCTGCCAGCTTGGCCAGGGCCCTGAGGTGAAGCAGACAGGGGAAACGGGAGACTCCTGGGGTGCTCGTCCTGGCCCGCTGGCGTGCACAGACGCGTACAGACCCGTACCAATGCCAAGTCTTGCCCTGACCGGTAGCCTGCAGGGTATCTGGGAGCAGGAACGGCGTGTGTATAAAGACAATACGTGCCCTGAGCAAAGCTAAGCAGAGCAAGAAGAGTCAGGGAAACACAGGGACAGGAAGACAAGGGGCCCCGCTCTGATGGGCAGCGGGGGTCCCAGACAGGGAGCGTCCTGGGGCAGGGTCTGAGGAGGTTGGTTCCAGGCTCTCCTGGTCCTTCCCCGCTGGGGCCTGCAGCGCCCCCAGGCAGGCAAGGATGGGGGAATGCGCATGGACGCGGGGGCAGAGAAGCTAAGTGACCCTCCCATACGTGTCCTGCGAGGACGCCGCTACCCGCGAGGGGACGTCAAGTGCGCGGGAACTCGCCGTGTTGTGCGCGCGCCGGGAGAGCGCAGTCCCTCTCGCAATCGCCGCGGCCGGCACAGCGGGCTGCCGGGACACCCGGGGGGTACCCTGGGTCCTGCAGGGCCCTCCCCGCCCGCCCCCGGCTGGCAGCTAGCTTACTCTAGCGCTGAGGCTCGCTCCCCGGCCTCTGCCTCCTCCATCCCTGCGGGCGGCGGGCTTCTGCTCTTCCGTCCCCCGCCCGCACTGCCCTTTGGATTCGCCGCGGCTGCGCGCCGGGGCAGGTGATTGGCTGCGGGGCCAGTGGGCGGGAACCAAGGGTCAGCGTGCACTCTGATTGGCAGGCACGGACGAGCGGTTGGAACTCTGGATGTTTGGCGCCGGCGCGGTCGTGGCTGGGCGCGGCCGGCGCGCCGGAATCCTGCGCATGCGCGCTGCCCGTAGGTGGTGCTGAGCCTGGAGGCGTGGCGTGGGCCAGGCCCGCGCGGTGCGGCCGGTTCCTACTTCGCGGGACACAGAGAACAAGTCCCTGAGTTTGCATTTTAGGGGAGGCTCTGGGCACTGAGTTCCCTTAAAAAAATTATGTTGTGGTAGAGGGAGAACACTCGGTGTGTTTCCCCAGACGCTTAGCATCCGTAGGAAAGAACAGGGATCCTGGAAGTGCAGGGGGCCGGTGATGCCAGGGCCGGAGCGAGTCGCTTTCCGACGTGTCCGGAGGTCCGTCTCCCCGCGCCTACTGGTGCCTGCCCGCCACTCCGGGGATCCGCCCACCAGCTGGGGACCCGCCCACCAGCCGGGGATCCGCCGACCGACCCGGCCGGGGTTCCGCGAGTTGTCGAGGGTCCGCTGAGTGCGGGGCGCCGTGGGCCCCGGGGGGGGGCTGCCCGGGAAGGGCGTGCGGAGTCTGGAGAGGCAGGAACCGTGACCGGCTCCTCCCGTCCGGCCGAAAGCTGCACCAGCTGGGGGCCCGGGGTAGAGTGCTCAGACAGGCGTGCCTCCGCGGTGGGGAGCCGGTAGCCGGAGACTGGTCGCCCCTCTAATGCCACTTCACGGCTCAGACTGTGAACAAATCACCTAAATATGTGACAGACCAAAGCAAAATAATATTCACAGAAACATGTCCAGCAGCCATTAACGTACAATTTACAACGTCTGGCATCCAATTAAAAACCACCAAGTTTGCAAAAAAGGAGGAAAAGAAAACCCATAATGAGAAGGAAAAAAACAATCACTAATCAGAACAGAAATTGATGTTAGAATCAAACAGGCAAGGATATTGGAAACAGTTATGTTCAAAAAAATAAGCAGAGTTAAAATAAATAATATAATAAAAGGTGAGGATGTGCAGAAAGTGGAATATTGGTGCTGCCGGTGGGGATATAAAATGATGCATCTGCCTTGGGAAACAGCTTAGCAGTTCCTCAAAATGTTAAACACAGAGTGATCGTATAGACCCAATTCCACTTCCAGGCATATATTCAAAAGAAAGGAAAGCGTGTTCGCAAAAACCTTGTACACAGGTGTCCATAGAGTATTATTTACAAGGGCCAAAAAGTATAAGCAACCCAAATGTCCATCAGCAGGTGACTTGGAAAACAAAATCTACATCCATTCAACGGGGTATTTTTCAGTAATAACAGAGAATGAGGCATACATGCTGAAGCACAGATGAACCTTGAAAACATTGTGCAAAGTGAAAAAAAAAAAAAACAGTCCCAAAAGACCATATGGTATGATCCCATTTATATGAAATGATCAGATTAGGCAAATCTAAGGAATGAGAAAGTAGACTAGTGGTTGTCCAGGACTGGGATGGCGGTAGGGGCGCTGGTGGGGCGAGGGAGGGGGGTGGCTAGGGTATGGAGAGGGTCTGCAAAGGGACATAGGGTTTCTTGTAGGAGTAAATTAAAATGTCCTAAAATTAGATTATGGAGAGGTTACACATTGTATACAAAAAGCCATTCGATTTACACTTAAATGGGTCTCCATAGAGCTCTTTCAGAGATATGAAATATATAATAAAGATCTAAATCAAACTTGTGAAAACTACAGTGGTGAAAACTACAATGTGATAGATGAAAATAGATAGGTTAGTAGCAGATTAAACATTACATAAAGAAAAAAATGAAATTGAAGACTTTGGCTTAGAAACTAACATGAATTATAGAAAATTAAAACAAAATGAAATAGAACAAAATACAGTAAGCTGTGGGACAGTTTGTAACAGCTTAATATACTTATAAATGAAGTCCCTGAAGGAGGCAAGAGGACAAAGTAATAAGTAAGTAAGTAATAATGACCAAAGAATTTGAAATTTGATGAAAATGAAATTCGATAAAACCTAAACACAAGAAACATGAAGAAAACTATACTAAGACCTACATAACTGTATAGCTTGAAACCATTGATAGCAGAAAATCTTTTTTTTTTTTAATTTTTTTTTAATTCTTGAAAGCAGCTGGGGGG